GTCCTATTTCGGGTAATATTCTCTATTTAATATTAAAAGAAGGGTTACCAGAAAAATTACAGTGTTATCACATGGTTTATTTTTGTGAAATAGTTAACTTGTTGGGTTGTTGTGAAAATTTGTTAGGACTGAACAACTATTTACCCAACTTCGTCTCACTTATTGAAAACGTTAAAAGGAGTCTTTTTATGAACATCATATTCCAAACACTCTATACAATCAATTCCACACCGGATGTTTTTTAAAAGCATAAATAAAATCAGAATTAATTTTTTAGAAGCGGGTCTCCCCCTAATTTCCAACATTTCAATTTCTACTTCTGCTCTCTAAAGGAGCAGAAGCAGTTTGAAGTAGTAGACCCAAATACCTTGTAATTTAAGGGAGAATGAGCTCTTCAAGTAAAACCAAAATCTGTCCATTTTTCAAAGCAAATAGGACCTAATAGTAGTTTGAAGCACTGCAGCTGCCGCTCGCCTCTGCCATCGGAGTTTTGTTGCCGCCATCGAAGTGATGTTGCTAATGTCAGAATGTCGCCGCCAACAGATTGATCAGAGTATAATTATAGACTGGCTTGCGTATGCTAGGGAACTAGGGGAGGGACAAATAATTATATTAACTAATTATATTAAGGATAGAAACGTTATGTTTTCTCTCATTCAAAAAAAAACATGTAGTCCTATTTTTAGAAGATTATTATATTTCTTAATTCAAAGCATGCATTTGTGTCTTAAAAAATACTCCGTACATACCAATAACAACAATTTTCCGTTTGATAAGTTCACTTTAAATAAATCTTTAATTTGTAGAAACTTTCTAATATCTGAGTTTGATAAATTTAGATGATCTGAAGAAAATTTTCATTCATAAAAAAATTCTTAAAACAAAGGTTTTATTTCACTTGGGGAAGCATGACAACCGGTGAACCGTGAATTAGCAGGAATGCTGGTATGCGGCGGGGTTATTTCTCTTACAAGTTTTGAACTAATAAATGGGAGGGGTTAAATAGAAAATGATACAAAGTATTGAGCCCGTGTTGTAATTTGTAAACATATAAGCTCACATGTGATATAATCCCATTGGTTACAAAAAGTAACGTACCGAAACACTTCAAATTTTGACATGCACGGTAGAAGGACCCCCTGATTAATTACCATGCACCAAGATCAAAGGGTGAAGCGGGCCAGCGGTCACGCACTCCTTATTCTTTTTGACACGCTCTAAACTCCCAAAATTCATGCAAAAGCATCCGTTCCGGCCTCCTCTTTTACAAACAATAAAACTCTTTCGTTTCATTTCATCCATTTCATTCCGACCATTTCTTGTTTCTCCGATCAATATCCGTCTCCCTAATCCGCCGTCCATTTCCGTAGAATAAAGATGGCCGACCTAATAATTCCCACGGCGCACCGCCGACCACAAAGGCGTCGACCCTCCTTGTCTTCCGCCGCGCATTACGTTCTCCGAGAGCAACGCGTCCTCTGCCTCCTCTTCGGGGTGGGCCTGTCGGCGATGGCATTCACGTACGGCCCATATTCTTCTCCGGCGGCCGGAGGGGCCGAGTCTCCGGTCATTCCTCGGAGGGTTATGTACGAGGCGCTTCATCAGACCGGCTACCACTTCAAAGCAGGCAGGCGTCAACTTTCTCTGTCTTCAATACTTGATTTCATCTTAATTACCCATTAATGTTTGCTTTAATTGCTCATTAATTAATTAATATTTCCAAAGTATATATGCACGTGCTTTCTCAATGCATGCATTTATGAACAAAAAACGGTCAAACCAATCAATTTGAAAACCAGACCACATGGTCCACATCAATATAACATGGGTGTTCATTTTAAGTGGAAATGGAGTAACTTAAAATTTACATCATCTAGTTTTATTATATAATTTAATATAAAAAGTAGAACATTTTGTAAACATTTACGAATATCATTTAGATATTTTAGGTGGAGAGATCGATAATACTCCTTATATTTTACATACTATCTTATTTTTATAAACCATTGTAATAACGCAACTTTTCATATAAAAATAAATTACTATACGCAAAAATTAAACAATCTACTTGTAATATAGATATGCATAATGATTGTTTTCTAATCATTGCATCCAAATATTTTGTGTGTAAAATATAACGTGCAAAAGATCAAATGAAACTTTAGTGTTTTTTGATTGATATACATTTAGAGCCCTTTTGGGGACTCTAGTTTACGATTTATCAGATGACTTTTTAACCAAACACGTAACTTTTAATTTCGCGCGTTGAATTGTGTAATAATAAGAAAAGGTAGGGTAAGAGTTATTTTTCGGACTGTATTGACTGAAGTAACTATAGATGAACATTTTAGCTGTTTTTCATACAATTTTTTCTTTATTTTATTAATAAAATATATTTTAGATATAATTTTTTCATAAATCAGCCAATACACCCACTTCAGTCATAAATTTCAGTGTTACTCTTAAATCTTAAAAGTGGTAAAACTTCGATTTGTAAGTCATTCATATATTCTACTTTAATTGATTAAAAACAATATTACGGAGTATAAAAGTGTTGTAATTTTGCTTGATTTAAAAAGTTGGAATATGATTTTATAAAGTTAAACAGGCAATTTAGCTAATACTCCATATATTATTAAAGACCCAAGTTGAGTCTTTTGAAAATTGAAAGCGTGAAGTTTTACTTTTACTGTTTATATGGATTGAATGAAGATATTTCATTTCTGAAAATTAAAAGATCAGAGGAACTAATGTGGCTTGAATGAAGATAATTCATTTCTTTCTATAATCAATTATAGATTTATAGATTTGAGATGGACAGTAAAAATGAATAATTAATATGAAACCACACGTTTTAAATAAATGTCATTTTCGGTCAAAGTGTCATTTTCGGTTAAAAAATCAGAGGAACTAATAAGGGTATGTAAATAGTGTGAATACGTATTAATTTGTCAGGTGGAAGAGTTCCACAAGGGTTGACGAGGAAGGGATTGAGGATACTGGTAACCGGCGGAGCCGGGTTCGTGGGGAGCCATTTGGTAGACCGGTTAATCGCCAGGGGCGATAGTGTAATTGTGGTTGACAACTTTTTTACCGGTCAGAAGGAGAATCTTTTACAGCACTTCGGAAACCCGAAATTTGAACTTATACGGCACGATGTGGTGGAGCCTATCATGTTGGAAGTTGACCAAATTTACCATTTGGCATGCCCCGCCTCGCCGGTCTATTACAAGTATAACCCTGTCAAGACTATCATATCCTTATTTACACTTATTATTATTATTATTATTATTATTATTATTATTATTATTATTTTCTTAGTCAATCACAAAAAAAGATGTGTTGATTGCCTTCGTCACACTAAGTAATCAGTTAAATATGTAAATACATACAAAAAACACTTTATGCATATATACTTTGCATTTTATAAGTATGTGTTAGATGTTTTCAATTGGATTGTAATTTTCTGATCTCTGATATATATAAGTATGATTTTTTCTGATCGGGTCTTATAACTAGTCTGATATGATAAATTTTTGTGTAATGTGTATCTTGCAAGTTCTAATATATTTAAGTCTAAATTGATATAATTTTGTCTAGTATAAGATGAAAACTAGTCCAATTAAATCATTCTTACACATGAATGTAGATAAAGTAGTATAAAAATTATGCATACATATAATTAGCTTGAATCGTTAAACATGCATATGACTATATCAAAATGTTTTTCATATTTTCCTCCAAATTAGCCACTTATGCTCCAAGAAAGGTCAAGTCGGTATATACAAGTCAAAATAATCATTTCACAAGCGAAATTTTCGGATGCTTGAATTACCAGTGATTTATTAGTTAAGTTTTCAAATAATTAGTAACATTCTTGAGAGAATTCCCTAAATAGGAGTAAAAAATTTTGAATTTCCAAAATAGGAGTATCATGTTTTTTATTTCTTGAATAGGAGTAAATTTCTGCCAAGTTTGACATTACTAGGCTTTAAAACATGTCATTTTTTCCAAACTTGGCAGATTACTCTTATTCAGGTAATAAAAAACATGATACTCCTATTTTAGAATTTCAAAACTATTTTAGAATTTCAAAACGTTTTTGCTCCTATTTAGAGCAATTTCTATTTCATTATTGATTGCAAGTAAAAATAACCCACAAAGATATATCAATATGTTTATTACTTTCCATGTTCACTTATTTGCTTCATGTTCCGATCCGTATATGGAAATTTATTATTATGATTTGCTCTATTTTTCATTTGAGTTAGGCAAGTTTTCTTAAAATTCTACTTTTATAAATGCAAATTCTGTTTCTTTACATCTTTTTTCCTTCTTTTCCTACTTAAATAAGTCATATCAAAAACAATAAGACTAAAACATCACACCAAGATTAAAACAGACCAGTCACCTATTAGATTAGGAAACATTTAAGTTGAAGTGAAATTATTCTTAATCATACATGCTATACTTGCAGAACATGGCATGTTATTGATGGGCTACTGTTTTTACATTTTGTACTTCATTGATAGTTAATGTGTGTGTGTGTGTTATATATATATATATATATATATATATATATATATATATATATATATATATATATATATATATATATATATATATATATATATATATATAATTGGGTACGGATCAAATAAAAACCATTCTTATCGTGAAAACTGCAAACCTCCACTTTTTCCATAGTGTGATGCACTATTACGTTTTTGTGTTGCACTTTTTCGCATTGATAGGAAACTTTGACTTATTTACGAAAATGCCTCTAATTTTTTATTTAGCATGGTTCGACTGAAGTTCAAAAAGTGCAACAGATCACTCTTAAAGTGCATCACATTCAGATAAAAGTGAACAGTTTTCAGTTTTCACATTAAGAAAGGTTTTTATTTGATCCGAAACCTATATATATATGATTAATTTATTTGTATGTTGAGCACTTGAGATATATGCATATATTGGGTTTTTCTTTAACCAAATGTTCACAAGACAAATGTGATGGGAACACTAAACATGCTGGGTCTGGCAAAGAGGGTGGGAGCTAGGTTTCTACTCACCAGCACCAGTGAAGTGTATGGTGATCCTTTGCAGCATCCACAATCTGAGACTTACTGGGGAAATGTTAACCCCATTGGTAATCTATCTAACTGCATGTAATTAATTCCTCATTACATTGAACATTGTATTATGCATGTTATCATTCCTTAATTAATACCTTAAATCAAACTAAGGTTCAAATCTATATACATATGTATACGTGTCCGCACCACGTGTTTTGCCCAGGTGTTCGGAGTTGTTATGATGAGGGAAAACGTACCGCCGAAACATTGACAATGGACTACCACAGAGGACACAACATCGAGGTTAATTACGTTGTTAATAATTAAGAACTAAGGATATTTTCACTTGAACTTTTTTAAATCCTACACAATTCAAGATCAAGATCAGTTCAAATTTAAACACGTAGATCAAACTATATCATATATATTTCAATAATAACAAAATACTTATATACGGAGTATTATACAATTATCGGATCGGACAGAACTTAAATGAACCAACTTAAATAGATTAGATGAAATCAGATTAGAAAATTTCAATGCAAATGAGAATATTCTAAATCATTCATACATATATATGAATGAGACGAAGTATTTAATATGAATATACAAAGTGAGTGAAATGTTTTTTTTTGTAAGTGCAGGTGAGAATTGCTAGGATTTTTAACACGTATGGACCACGAATGTGTCTTGATGATGGTCGCGTTGTTAGCAATTTCGTTGCTCAGGTCTAAACTCTGAATTCCATCTTATAAATTAATTCCATTCTAATTAACATAATATTGTATGCATATTGTTATTAAGAAAGTATTAAAAATAAAACCAATTAATAAGTATCCTTATTAGGGTCCATCTTTATCCTAAATAAAATAATTGGGAGTTCATCAATCGTGTGCAAACGACCTATGTTGTATACAATATTTTAAGTCTAGCTCTAATACTTTACTAACACCCACGAAATGAAATTAATATTTTTTTATTGGGATATTTTTTTATTCAAACTAATAAAATCTCATTCTACACTACATTTATCTTACTACAATTAATCATTCATCACAAACGGTTGGTAATGCATGGCTAAAGTTTGATATGATTATTATTATTAATTAATAATAATTATTTGGCAGGCATTAAGGAAGGAACCGTTGACTGTGTATGGAGATGGGAAGCAGACAAGGAGTTTTCAGTACGTCTCCGATTTGGTATGATCTTTTATAGTTAGGTATCCATTCACCCATTATTAATTAACTTAAATTGCAATTCTAAAATGATCTACATTTTGCTATAAATCGATAATTAATGTAACTCTTAATTTTATGGTCCAAAAATTACATCTAGATGCTTTTGTAATTTTTGCATGAGTTTTGATGCACATTTCTAATTTCTTAAGTGTCTGTATAATGTTAGTGTTTGTCTAACTACTCTCTATAAATACACTCCATCTATCCCACTTTTAAGGTAATCACACATTTTCTTCTAAGAAAAGTGTTACTCCGTACTACGTATATTGTTTCTTTTATACCTCTACTTAAATAAATTTTCAAGCTTATATATAGTTTAATTCCTCTCCTTACTCCACCGTAGGTGATGGCCTTTGCGGCAATGAGGTAATGACGATAGTTTAATTCGTCTCGGAAGGGGTATCAATAGTTGGGTTATGATGGACTGCACTCCTATACAAAATACGGAGTAATTGTTTTCAAAATTTTATAGTAAATTATTTTCTTTTTACATATTTAGTTCACCTTGCTAATGTTTAAAAATAGTGTAATTACTTATCTGTGAAATTCAATCTTGATTCCTAGATTCACCCCTACCTCTACGTGTAGTCTAAGTGAAGGCATGATCCAGGACGGGATGGAATGTCTTTTCCCTTTTTATTTAGTAAAACACTATTTTTCAGATCAAAGTTGTTCAACTTTGACCGATTATATATTTATACACAATAATATTGATAATATGAAAAATATATGAAAATGTTCTTTGTTGAAAATACTACCATAAAAGTATAAATTTGTTAACTTTTACATAAATATATTAGTTAAAATAATGGATCAAAGTTTATCATCTTTGACTGGAAAAGTCAAAGTTGGCTAAATAAAAAGGGACGGAAGTGGTATATTGTAATGATGTTTTTTCTATCAATTATTAAAATGATTTTTTTTTTAAATATTACTAAAATAAAACTTATTCACACAATTATGACTAATAGTAACTACGTAGTACAATGTAGTGTCATGGTAACTTAAGTTTAAAAATTGAACACTAGTTACTATTGTTTCATTACTATTCCAGTTACTTATCACATTTTTGTATCAATTTTTATTTTAGTATTTATATATTTTCAACTAAACTAAAAGTTACACCAAAACGCAAAAGCTGAACTCAAGTCTGATAGAAGTTTGGTACTTAAAATCAGATAAAAAAAAAATAAATTGCGGCCACAAGGATATGTATAGAACCATCCAAAAAGTTCATTGTGGCAGAAGTAGTAAATTTTACCAAAAGGATGACAACCCCGACCTTACGGTACGTTGGGAGGACGTAAATTGGACTATAATCCCAATCTGACAGATAGAGAGTGAGACTCTGTCTCCGGTACTTGAAGAGGTGCTATGTATTTTGACAACGAAACAAAAAACTTTAATTACTGATATATGAACAGAGGAATTATGTATAGATTTAATTACTGAATAGGAGGACGTAAATTGGACTATAATCCCAATCTGACAGATAGAGAGTGAGACTCTGTCTCCGGTACTTGAAGAGGTGCTATGTATTTTGACAACGAAACAAAAAACTTTAATTACTGATATATGAACAGAGGAATTATGTATAGATTTAATTACTGAATAGGTTGAAGGGCTGATCAGATTGATGGAAGGTGATCATGTTGGTCCATTCAATCTTGGGAACCCCGGTGAATTTACCATGCTCGAATTGGCAAAGGTATACTCCTATTTAATTAATTTGTTACTCGATCTATATATGAGTTTCTTACTCATTCATTTGGGACTAATGATATGCTCTTAAGAAATCAATTTTTTTTGTCATGTTTGTTGCAAACTAATACGTAGCAAGTCTTAAATGATTTTGGGTGTATTGTTGATAGTACTTAGAAGTCTTTCTAAATGTGATTTGATCGAGTATAATCTGGTCTCACATGAGAGTAAGTCCAAAAGTTTGTATTTTCAACTGTTTGAGATGACTTAATATTGGTCATTTTTAATTGGATTTGTTTCAAAACCAATCAGATCAAATCAGATTTAAAAAAATAAAATCCATATATATCACGCGTTTATCAAACCTATCTTAGACAGTTCGGACGAGCCTTAAATAAACTTGGTCAGTTAAATCTGAACCAAAACACTGCGTTTTCTTGCGAAATAATACAGTTAAATCTTCCTTTTGAGCAAAATATTTAAAGCTAAAATAGATAAAAATAATTATTGTCCCGTCTTGTACTAATTTATTAATCCTTAAGATATGCCTATATATTCAGCCTTTGCAACCAAATTTAGAATTTCTCAAAGTAGGAGCAAAAACAAGGCGGTCCCTAATTAATTAGGATTTTGTGTTTTATTTCTCTATATATGTAGGGGTACGGTAAAATATTATGGAGTACCATTTTAAAGTTATACAATGATATTATAATAGAGAATATTACCCGAAATAGGACTAAAAAGGTTTGAAAATTCCAAAATAGAACTGACATGTTTTTATTCCCAAAATAGGACTAATTACTATCATGTGTTGACAGTACCAGACTTCAAACATGGCAGTATTTTCTAAAATTCGCAGTAATTACTTCTATTTTGAGAATAAAAAATATGACAATCCTATTTTGAAATTTTCAAACCGTTTTATTCCTATTTCAGGAACTTTCCCATTATATTATTATCATACATTGACTATTGCAATGTGATCTCACTATAACAAGAGAAAAAGCACATCTTCATTCCACAAAATTTCATATTGACTTTTCTAATTCAATGATAGTCGAATTTCACCGATGTTTTTAATACATAATTATTTAAAATATGAAATTAACATGTAAATGTTTTCTTATATATTGTTGAAAAGTGAAGATATTTATAATAAAGAGGGGTCAATGTGCATGCATGCAGGTTGTGCAGGACACAATTGATCCAAATGCTAAGATAGAATTCAGAGCAAACACAGAAGATGACCCTCACAAGAGGAAGCCAGACATCACAAGAGCCAAACAACTCCTTGGTTGGGAACCCACCGTTTCTCTCCGGGACGGACTTCCTCTCATGGTTTCCGACTTCCGCAAGCGGATCCTCGGAGCCGGAGGGAGTGACGCCGCTGACGGAAAGTCTTTCTCAGGCGTTGACTCTCAGTAGTGTGGCTAAACTGAAGTGTACCTCTAAATAGAGCTATTGACTTAGGGGTGGTGGAATGGTTGACTAGCTAGCTAGTTAACAGTAATAAGACAAATTGAAAAAAAAATCATTAAATAGAAATTATAGAATGAAATTATTTTCTTCTAACGATTATATATATATTTTGCAGTCACTAGGAGATTCTTGGTCATGTAATTTGAGGTGTAACGTGTAAAACAATATTGCATTTCTAGGAATAATAATAATCATCCACCAAGTCAGGAAAATTCCGATCAATAGGGTTTATTGTATTTCTATTTTATTTATGGGGTTTCTAATGTGTATCTATGGATCATACCAAAATTATTAACTAATTTATGATATCTTGCATCCCATGGTATCTAGTACTCCCTCCTGTTTTTATTAAAATTCTCACTTTCCTTTTTGGGATATCCCTTATTTAAGTTCACACTTCCATTGTAGGAAACAAAACAGTACAAAACAGTGTCAAACAGTGTCAAACAGTGTCCAAACAGCGTCAAACGGTGCACTCCACAGTAAAGTTAAATTTATTTTCTTAATCTGTGTGAAGTCAAACTGAGAACTTTAATAGAGACCGGAGGGAGTATTTAATAGTGTTGTATATCTTTCGTAGTTTTTTATTGTGTTAAAAATTACGGAGTAAAATATACGTAGTACTCGTATATGATTGTTTTCTATGATCAGATGCTTCCTCGAAACGTGAATCTGGGACACATTAAAAGATTATTATTTTGTGTTGCCAATGGACATATTAAATTATATGATTGTAAATGGAGTTTGTAATTCGAAAATAGGACTATTGTGCTTTTTTTCGAAATAGGACATATTAAATATATTGTGTTTTTTCAAACCTCATTTACTCCTATATTTAGGACAATTTCCCTTTTTATTACTACGTATAATTATAATTAGAAAGCATTTGATTACAAGTATCTTCTTTTTTTGTACTCCATGTGTCCCCCTATAATTGTACCATTTTTTTCATTTTGAGATGTCCCCTTTTATTGTTTCGTACCATTTTTGGTAATATTTATGTGACTCTAATTCATTCTTACTTTATTTCTACTTTATCAACTCATTATCAATCACATAATTCTACTTTTCTTAAAAATCACACAACTCTCTTCCGTCCCAATATTAGGGGGGCGAAGGTAGTATTTGATATTATTACAGTGTATTAGATAGATGAAGTTATAGAACAGATACTATAATAGGTTTAGAAAGTTTAATAAAAAAAGGTGGATGAAGTGAGATGTATGAAAGTTATAATTAAGATTCATTTACAAAAAAACTATAAATTTTAAAAAATGGTGGTGTAAAAATTATTCAATTTAGTTATCTTCCACACAAGTTTATTAGTGGAGATAAAATTGAGTGTGTATTGAAGTCTTGCACCGTTAAATATGTAGTATTACGTAATAAAGTGTTATATATATTTGGATGATAGATTATTTCTCCTATGACGTTGAACGGAACTCTGAGCCTTAACAAGTGTCCACGTCAAACATGTGGTTTTACTTCTAAATTTGTGGCTAGACTTTTGGTTCATGAAGTGATTTTTTTATTCTAATGCTGGTCAATTCTAGAGTTCGTGCGATTAAAATGAAATTGTTTGGTGTTTTATTGTGTGAACACCTCAATATTCCTCCACACATAATTATATGTGTTTGTAGAATATATCCCGGATAGAGAAACTAGCATCATTTGAGTATAGTGAAAATAATGTAGGAGTATACAAGGGGTTGGTGGCCTATTTATAGGCGTATACAATATGCTCACCAATTAAGTGCCCGCTACATGGGTTTGGCCCGATTTATCAATTAATACTGATGCTAATGGGCCAGCCAGCCCAATAAGTAATTAAATAATCCTGGACCAATATCCACTAGCCGTACTGTGATCTGAGCTTGGTTGTGCCAAAGCTCAGGTGTAACAGGCTGATAGTTTTGGACCCGTCCCATTATCCCAACACGAGTCCCCCACTCCCTTAGTCGAGTAGTAGACTCGGCTAAAATGGAGTAGTTAAGCTGTTTTGGAATTGGTCTGGTTCTTGGTCCGGCTGGCCGGTCATTAACGAGCCTTGAATTAGATCTGATTGCTTGTGAAAGGATGGAGTCTTCCTTGTTCCGACCGGGAGACCTCTTCCTCTGTTCATGATGAGGGGGTGCCTCGTTAAAACCTTACTAGGAAAAAACCCAGTGGGAAAAAATCCCAGTGAAGGAAAAAGAGTACACCGGAACCTTAAAATAAAGCAAAGGAAGGCTAGTCTCCTCGGTTCTTGATTGAGTGTTTGCTTTACAGGTAAGTTGAGATATGTTCCGGGAAGGCCAGTCCCACAGATGTATGCCAGTGGTGGTGGTCGAGCCAAGGTATGCTCCAGAGCGACCAATTGCACAACTGTCTGTTGATGATGCAGAACCCAGGTGTGCTCGGGAGAGGCCAACAGCTCAGCTGTCTTTTGATGATGCTGAGCTGAGGTGTGCCCGGGAGAGGCCAGCAACTCAGGTGTCCGCTAATGATGATCAGGCGAGGTATGCTCTAAAAAGGCTGATTGCACGCTGTCCACATTAATCCCCCTACTTGCGAAAGGATTTGGTTTCCTTCGTCTGGGTAGCAGTCCGTGTCTTGTTTGTTCGACCAGCAGCCCGAGGTCTTGTTTGTCCGATTAGCAGCTCGAGGTTTTGTTTCTCCGACTAGCAGCCCGAGGCCTTGTTTGTCCGATTAGCAGTCCAGGGTCTTCTTTCAAATTCAGCAAAAAAGTGAGCCCTTCAGCCACTGCGTGCAGCTGCAACGGTCGCCATTTGCTAAGGGAATGGCGAAGACCGGTCTTCACTTGTGAACAATGCTCGTCTGACGTTCTCGGGAGGATGCAGTGAGTAGTCCACCTTGATAAGTAGTCCCTGTTGATTGATATTATTACCGGTTACAGACATAGCGGGTAGGAGAGGTCCTCTCGCTGCTTTAGCTGCAGTGCAAGATGTTACGTGTCACGCCCCGGACTCACCCGAACATGTCAACAATCCGCCATACGGTACAAATAGTCAACCGCAGTTCAACACATCCATACTATACAAGGCATCTGGAATATCATTCACACATAGTACGTCCATAAACAAACATAATGTAAAACATTAATTAAAGCAGCGGAAACATTAATACAAGTGTTCAAGCCACCCTTGGCAAACTTAGATATACAAGCCTTCAAATAATTATTCAAAAATAATATCCATGAGCATTATTCATATTGTTTTAAAAACAGAAACGTAAGAAGCATGAACCAAGTCTTCTTCCTTTGATCTCCCCGAAGCAACGGGCGGTGGTAGCAACCTTCAAGTTCTACCTGAAACTGTGAGGTGGTCTCCCCCGTGAAGGGGAGGTCAGTACTTTGAAGCATTTGAAAAGTACAATGACAACTACACTGTATATAATCAATGTTTCAATTTCTAAGACCCTCAATCTAGGGTGATACTATATTATAGGCCGTAACCCTCGGTTACCCTATTTAAAACCTACTTACCTTATATATAAGGTCAAGTAGTCGGCCCGTGGGCCCATGCTTACCTTATCACATCTTTTCACCATGGTAGAGTCACACTCGCTGATATCATTCCGTCGTGCTAGAGGCTGACTCCAGTCACTCCATTTCGTGCTAGAGGCTTCCTCTAGTCACTCTACATTATGCTAGAGGCTTCCTCTAGTCATTTCCCGTCGTGCTAGAGGCTCCCTCTAGTCACTCTTCGTTATGCTAGAGGCTTCCTCTAGTCATCTTACGTTATGCTAGAGGTTTCCTCTAGTCACCATTCAATATGCTAGAGGCTCCCTCTAGTCATATTATCAAATTACTAAGCAACTTCTATGCCTAGGATCACTTCATATTGAGTAGCCTTTAAGGCCCACCCCTAGCTTAACTTAGCATTTACACATTCCTACATTAAAGTATCTCATAAGACTACTTAAGGTATATCTTTCACAATCCAAGCCCTTAGGATTCATTCTATCATTTTTCATGCTAACTGTTGGGATATTGGCCTAGAGGCCCAATACCTAGTTCGGGAAGGCCCAAGGTGTCCGGCCCAAGTAACAGGCCCAACACTCTATGATGAAAAGATCCAGTGAAGAGACATACCGAACGGGGTTCGGCCCAAATAAAGGTTGGCCCAATAAGAAGACATACCGAACGAGGTTCGGGCTATATATCATACTTGGGCCAATTTGACAGCATCTTCAGTATGGACCAACATCCCGTTCGAGCAACGGCCAACCAGCAAGTGGCCAGGTGCAGTTAATGCCAGACTATGACATCAGCAAGTGGAAGCATGGATGACCAAGTCGGTGGAACAACGGCCAATCAGCAAGAGGCAGCCCATGCTCTCCATTAGTATAAATAGAAGGTTTCAAGTCATTGTAAGGGTTAGCATTTCAATACTCAAGCTCTAGAATAGCATCATTTGCTCTTATTTCTTGTATTAAAGCATAGTTTCCGACTTACCGATCGGGAAATCCCTTGTAATCAGATTGGTTAATTAATACAAGTGAGCTTTCGAGTTTTAGTTAGTTCAGATCTTATATTTTCTTTTACGCTTTGATTCTGGGCCATTCCTGATATATCCAAAGTTAGTGTTGGGCTTTCGGATCTACGGGACTTACCCTCAACACTAACATTCCAACTAGTTTTTCAATACTAGTCAAGTAATCTTAGAACAACCAAGTTCTTAATTCATAGTCATATTGCTCATCTCAATTGATTTTCCAATCCAAATATGATTTAACCCTAATATCAAAAATATCACTTTTATCCATTCATGATTTCTTTACATGAAGTAAAAGTATATTTTATCACAATATTTCACAATTAATTTCATTATCATGGTTTCATATTCATAATACACAATCATACACAATCTCTTCTAAATTTGTATATCATGCTTCATTTACTCACATGCAATGGTATTTTCATTTAGGCATTATTAATCATTAATAATCCATGAAAATCACATTATTAATCATTAATAATACATTATTACTCACATGCGGGACCAGATGAACAGGGTACCTGCACAACCTGCACCAGTCCAACTGGGGATTACTTCCCCGTTTACAAGGGAGCTCATGTACGCGGACATCCAAGGGGGTGCCAAGCCTCCGACCGGCCAAATATATGATGGGGTGGGAGATCCCCATGTACATCTGAGGAGTTACCAAGGCGGACTTATGCTGCTAGGAGCACCCGAGGCTGCCATTTGCCGTTTGTTTTTCAGCACGCTCAGGGGGCCTGCCCAGGAATGGTTCGGGACACTGCAGCCCGGGTCAATCAATAGCTTTACCGAGTTATCAACGTTATTCTTGG